ATACCTGCTCATTGACGCCAATAATTATTGGACTGCTCCCACTCTTTCGCAAATTCTGGACCATCTTCAAGATTAGCTCACCTACTGGTCACGATTTTTCTTGCGACGAACCGTCTGACCATTTTCAACAGTATTAGTGGCAGAAACATTCTGAACAGATGTTTAAACCAGAGACCAACTAACATATTGCCTCAAGACGTCACGCTACACGCTACATATTTTCTAGTACTCTGTACCAAGGGACCTTTCCATATGAAACTTGCTATGCATCAAATACACTTCTCGAATGATGCCGCCCATGTTAATGCATAATGTATAAATGTGTAATGTATAAATACTGCCACTTGGACTATTAACTGTTGCAACACATTTTCATTCAATACAACAAGTATTCCCAGCAGAATTAATCTACATTACATTTAAGCGTAACATGGTGACCTGGGAATGCATTGATATAGCCACGCACGTTGGTTATATAACTGTGGATACTTTATTGATACTCCAGATTGTATAAATGGGTCCCTTGTGGTTGCCAAAGCCAAAAGCTGAAGATCATTCCAAGTAATAAACTGTTGTATTACCAATCAGCGAACTTTGCGAATGGACTAACAACGTCGATTGGTTATAACGCAAACTTTGAGCACTGCGCGCTTTTGATATTGATAGTGGAACCCATCTATGTGATGGGAGATGGGAGGTGGAAATCTAATTCCGTCTCATGAATTCCAGCAAATTTTAGTGGGATTGTGCGCACTAATGACTTGATATGTAAATTAGTTGATACTAGATACTAGTTCGTAAAATTTCAAAAATTATGAATTTGACGGTGCTTGTAAACCGGTATCCCTCATGTTAAACCTGTTAAATGAAGACAATATTTATTATTATCTAGACTTTAACACTATGTACGCTGTAAGGTAATGTTTCCTTGTTCATTCCATAACTAGCGGGACCTTCGGCAGTTTTTAATCGAGTTCAATGACATTCAGTCAGTACCACTCAGGGCTCTAGTCTTGTGGATATTCTGAGGTGTATCAAAGTGATGAAGCTGTAAACTGGCCTCTCCCATGTTAAAATTTTTTGACGTGAGAACAAAACATTCATTTGTTTCAGTTAATTTGGTAAATAGTCTACGTATCCGTTTTACAGCTCGTCGTAAGTCGTCGGTATAATTTTGTAGGTCTGCCTGTGTGTCAATGGATCGTGTATCGCTATCACTTTCACAGTTGTCGATTTCCCCATTTGACACTAGGTTCTTCGTTATGGTGTTCGCAAGTATTCTTGCTTCTTCTCCCAAAGTGCAAATACCCGAGCATCACAACATGCAAAGCCAGACGCTCCCTGCGGTTCTGTACTCCCTATGTGCTGAATGTGTGAGGCATATGTGTAACCAACCCTTGCATTCACCACACAGTATACCAGAGGTCGCTGTGACGTGGTACCTGGCCAAACTACGAGCATTTTTCAGACACAATTGTTTCACCATGTAACCGAAAATGGAGAAATTCCCCCAGTAAAATTTCCGTCCCACCTTATTCTAATAGTATACCGATTGAAGAAAAAATACAACCACCTATGATGCATAAGCACGGAAAATGCCAAGAATCTAGCTGAACAGTGAAAGTCACTCCCCTTTTTCAAACAGAGCAGACGTTGATGACGGAAAGTTGGTTATCGTGGGATATTAGCCACATCGAAGCTACTATAGATCGTATGTCTCTTTTCGGGAGAGACAGGAAACAGGATGAAGCGGGTGGAGTGGTAATGTTCATGAGCAGCCATCTCAAAAAGAAGAAGCCGCCGAAACCCTGCTGTCAGGGCTCTCAGACTCCTTCTGGTGCCACTTCACAACCGGGCACACTAGGTACTCAGTCGGAGAGCCAATCGAAACTTTGCCGGCAACGTGAGCCAGAACCGACATACGTCATAAGCAATGTTCGCAGCGACGGCTACGCGGCATAACCAGATAAGTGTAGCGGGGGATTTTAATGCTGCAACTCTCAGCCTTGGGCGGGACAGGACATTTTCAGGCCGGAAGCCCTACTGGGACCTACTTAACACCATCGAAAGGCTGGGCTGCAGTAGAGTGTTGAGGATGACTCTTGCTGAGAGTCGGGAGGAAAGGCGTCCAGACTGGGCCATCTCCTTACAAACGACTGTCTGCTGGCAGGAAGAGTTCAGCTTCCAACCTCTTTCTACGTCAGCGATTACGGTAAGGTAGTGTTTGATCTTGTAATCAGGGAAAATTATCATGGGTGGGATCTTGCCCTTGCTTTTGCTGCAGCAAGAAAAACTAGATGGCGATGAAGCAAGATTCTGTTGGCGGAAGCCTGGCCTGTGGAGTAGAGTGCCTTATCGATTGACTGACACCGGGAACTAGTGAGGGCCATCAATAAGAGTGGCATCTAGGAATACCCACCAGTGATCATAGCGATACCAAAGAAGCAAACCTCATAGGTGAAAAAGGCACTGAACGCCCCTTGAAAGCCAATAGGAAAACACGGCATCAATGGGCGATCTCCAGAGGAGGGTCGAATCACAGGGTATATGTGGCTCATAGAAAACGAGTCAACATCAAAGTCAGGGCGGATATGAAGTCATTCCAGATAAACCCTGCCCAGAAGCTTGGGGTGAATGCCGAAAATCTATATCGACTCGTGGCGGAGAGGAAGACTACTAGCCAAGGAGCTCGCGTTATGAAGGGTCCGAGGAGGGGGAACCTATCTGGACTGGATAATATGTACACCATTGGTGTTGCCCTTAACACACAACTCGACACTCCGTTATCCACACAAAACCACCAACTACCTGACCAACCTTCAGCACCACTTAGTGTAAGATAGTTGTATGGGATAAAGATAACCCCTGCCATAGTCCTCGAAAATCGGCCAAAGCTCCACGCAAGAAAACCGCCAGGATGCGACGACATTCGGCCGTATGTGTCGAAGCAAAGGGTGGTTAGTTCATATGGTTCACTCTGCAGTCTGTTTCAATACTCCCTAGACAAACACATGCTTCCACAAGAGTGGGGACGTGGTATTCTATCTCGCATTTTCAAGGGAGGAGGTAGGCAGGACGCGAACTCATGTCGAATTACGGTCACTCTACCGGTGTCATTGAATTTAATTGTGTGCCTGGTAGACCCCTATTTGAGGACGTGCACGGACGTGAATGGGTGACAAATTATGCTCAACAGTTTACGAAATAATAGACACTGCGCCTCCAGCATTCTAGCAGCAGATGATATCTGGACTGCATTTTGTAACCGCTAATCCCTTGTTCAGGTGGTTTTGTAGGTTCTCCTCATTACCCTTAACAGAGTCTCAGAGCCATTCTGGTTTGCGAAATATGTGGTGCGCCACTGGTTGCGGGGCCATTTAAGTGAGAGAGACTTCTGCCCGAAAGTTGACGGGGTTCACTTAATATGGAAGATGTCATCATCTGGTGGGTCACAAAGAGCGATTCTAGGCCCATTGCCGCTCTTTCCTTTTATGAAGGGCCTCCTATTGAATCTCAGTTCCAGGATTCTACTTTGCGCTGACTATATTGGGCTATGAAGAGTTGTGATGCCCAAAACAGAATCAAATGCAGTACAACGTGATGTGAGACCTCTCGCAGAGTGAGCGACTAAAAAAAGACTAACACTTATCGTGGTGAAGTCCCGAACCAAGTTCCCCCGCACGCTGACTCTCAAACGTTATCCTAATCTGTCTGCCGTACTCAACTTTCCCATATCATAACGGAGGAAGGCTTGGAACTAGTGCTGAATAACAGACTAGATACGTGTCCCACATATCCGCGTGTCTCCGGAGTCTACGCAGTACCGCACTTTAGGCATGGACATCTAGATGCCTACACTTTTGAACTCCTCCTGAAGGTCTGAGGTACACACATATGACCTTGCTAAAAGGTCTACAACATCATTGGACCACCACGCCAGAAACGTTATGTGGACCTCCTGGAGAAAGTTCAGGTGCGAGCTACTAAAGTTGTCGTAGGAACGTGAGGAAATCCCCGTAGGAACAGGGTTCCAGACCTAGAGCCTTACGCTTTCGGCTAACATGGGCTACGCGGCTGCTTGACGATGTCTGTTAAAATACTGAGCAATCCAATTCATCCGAACGCAGGAATCCTACGGAGTGGCCATTGTGGCAGCTCTTGTGGAATCCCAGGGAGAATCTCCCATCAGGGGCTACAACCCACGTGCGTTCCAACTTTGCCCCCCTAGGCGCTTACAGCAACTGAAACACATTGCCTGCAGAGACTGCTAATGTGCCATCTGCAGACAGCTTCGAGAAGAGGTTAGATAGCTACGCACTGCCCGCAGTCATCCATTTGAGACACGGACTAGGTTGATGCAACCAACTAAATCCACACACTCTAGCACAGTCAGCACCACATTGGGTCTTTGGTATCACCCCTGTCATCGTGAGCTTGATTCGGCCTTATACTTCCCTGTTAAACTCCTGCTTCACTTGTCATATCTCCAGTGATAACATCATTACTTATATTCTCATAATTCCTTCTACAATCTTACCTACTCTTCCTCTTTCTTCTGACTCTCTCTTAGTTTACCAACACACTCTATTCATTAGGATCTTCACTGTCTGTTATCTGAATCTATCTGGTTTCACCTCTGCATCCGTTCTGCCTTCTCAACTTGATATTTTCCTACTTCTTCTCCCTCTTTTTCATTAAATGTCTGTTCCTCCTTTATATCCCCTATTTATAGCCCTTCCGAACAACCGTTTGGTGACATGACACTCTAGGAACCTATCTGCGCCGTATTCCTTGGACAAATCATATAATCATTGGAAATGTACTTAACGCTCAACCTCCCATCAGCTCAGTGAGAGCTATACCAAGTGAGTGAGTAGATATATTGGATTAGAATCAACCAAAGACCTGGAACTGTTTTGCAAGACCTAGAAGCGAGTGCGAGGAAATAAATTAGCTCACAGTGGCCTCCTAAAAGATATTGGATGATTTTGTTTTAATGGTTACTTTTAACCGCAGTTCAACTTGTGTATTTGATACTGTGGTATGAGATGGATTCTGGAGACCTTAGGAAATTAATCGAAGATCAGGCTAATCAAACAATAGAGTCAATTCAGGGGCACCGAGATATATCAAGAAAAAAGCTGGCTGAGTACAAGCGCTACGTAATTGAGCAGGTATTTGATACTGTTATGTGAGAAATATTTATTTCCATAGGTATCCACGTTGTTTACAGATCTAGAATCAAGATGCCTCAAGCAGGAGAACGAATCTGATGATTTTATCCAGGAGCTTATAGTAGAACTAATGGAACTGCTGAAAAATATCGATACCCTTTTGATTGAGATTCATACCTGTAAAAGTACACTTTCCAAGTTAAACAATATGTTGACTGGTAAAGAAAATTTTTCTTGAAATGAACCCCCGCAAAATGGTGTGTTTTTAGTTGTTGTATGGCAATCAAGATAAAAAATCTTTAATACTAAATAAAAAACTGGAAACCATCTTGTCTAATATAGGAATACCAGTTTCGAAATTCTCCAAGGTTTAATGTTCTCTCTGAACATCAAAACTTATGACCAGTGACAACTATTAGTGTCCACCAAATACAAAGTTAACTTGGCCTGGTATAGAAGTATTTATTTTACGAAATACTTATAGTTTATTTAGAAGTATTTCAGAAGCCCACAGAGTTCATTCCTACCACAGTCCAACAAGAACTGTACACTTTTATGACCGTCTAAGTTTTGCTGACTGTCACAGCCTAGGTGACGTCAAGAAAAGGTTTGGGTTCAGAGCTATAGATCCAGGATAAAACGGCATATGGTTATACTAAACATTTTCCAGCAGATCTCCGTGCTAGCACAATCCTCTTTCGAATAGGTCAGTTGATTACGCCGACACTACTTCTGGGAGTTAGATGCAGTGTTTGCCAACTCGGTGGGAAAACCGTTACTCTGTGGATATGACTTTCGTTCTTTGGTTATTTGGCCTGCCTCTATGTCCTCTGAGAGTTTTGATACAATGAGATAGAAAGGGGGAGGCAAATAAGGTTCAGAATCGCCCCTTAAAGTGTCGTATAGCACAAACAGATCTCTCCTGTGTCTGCAACGCAATAAAAAGGAGAGGTTCAGGTTCCGCGGTGGTTCTTCGTGGGTCACTGATATATTTATGATTAACCCTCACATAAATGATGGAATTTCAATTTTTGACGCAGTGATTAACTTATTTCTTTATCTTCCAGCAACACGTTATGTGACATCTTTGCTTTGAAACCATGGATTACATTTGAGAACAGTTACTAAGGCGGCAAGTAGACATTGGCATTCTTACTATGACTTTGAAGGAATTATTCCTCGAATGGACAATGAGTGTCCAGTTCATCTTCAGTAGTGATTTGCGAAGACAAGTAAACGTATTGGCTATGTGATCTCTGTTAGCCCCAATATTTGCAGAAATATTTCTGACAAAACTAAAAAATTGACCTTTGAAGGATTAAATTACTAATATGAAGCTGTGCTGTTGGTATATGGATGATACTTTCTTAGTTTTTGTAAGCACTTGAACTTTAATTCTATTCTGAATCATTTTATCTAGGCTTTTCTATTAGTTCATTTTACTTATGAAAGCGAAATCGATAACTCGATCCATTTTCTTGATGTGCTAACGGCAAGAAAGTAGAAAGTTCTATACTGAGAAGTATATTCAGAAAACTAAAGTATAAGGAACAGTATAATACCTTCCTAGTTTCGGGTTGATGAAGTACCAACATAATATAATCAGGTGTTCAGCACTTAGAGTGAGAACGATTTATATTCATTATTTCCATTGTGACATTAAAAACAAGGTATTCAGAGGAGAGGACTCCTTTCAACGAATTTATTCTCAAGCTGTACATTGATATATATATATATATATATATATATATATATATATACATATATATATATATGTATATATATATGGTTTTTAAAGACTGTAATCCGTGAGGAAGATTCAGCTGAAATAATGGGGGTTGAAATAATAATAATAATGGTGATAATAGTTATAACGTTGCTAGTTGATGACGTAAAGGTCGAATGATAACAAAAAAGGGGGTTGCGTAAGATTTTCAAGTCGATCATAAAGTGCATGTAGATAGAATAGGAGTGAGAACGTTAATAAACAAACAAACGATTAGGTAATATAAATGAGACAAGTTAATTGGAGTAAATTGAAAATATTCTGTTAAAAGTTGCGATTATTAGAAAAATCAAATGAAATAACACTGGAAACAAATAAATACAAAAAGCAGAGTGATAATGACGATAAAAGAGTACAAAGATTGATTTAACAGAACAGGGGAAGGGGGTGAAAAACGAAAAAAGAGGACGAAACGCATCAAGACTAAATAAATTAAGGCCAAGGTAGAGACAAAGACTGTACGTACTTCTTTTGCACACAAAGGTTGGGCTTCAGTTCATGGATAGCCAAGGCCTCTGCTATTTTTAGAAGCTGAACATAGAGGAAATGTGGGGAGTCAGGGTGAATTCGATAGAGAACCTTGAAATCCTTGTTTGGGCTGGCTGAATGGTTGGAATCGATTAAATGTTCAAGGATAGAACTTCTGTTACATTTTCTTTGACCTTTACAAAATCAGGCCGGAATATTTTCTCGTATACGTGTTGACAGCACCATCTGAATACGGCCGACGTGACTTGCTCCACAGGAGCAGGTGAACTGGTGGATACATATGATTATCTTGTCTAAGAACGATTTGTTCCAAGAAATGTTGCAAAAACAACTGTGTGTACATAATGTTCTTAGTGAAAATGGACATCCTGGAAGTTCCAATAAAAAACGACACTTGCAGTAGTTTCAACGGACAGTTGGTGACATCGGATAAGCCTTTGTTTCTTGGATTACAACTCTAGGGAGACACTCCAAGTGACATCGTATCAAAATTCCTAGCAAGAGCAGCAACAAAGCGTTTAGTACTGGCCATCTTTGCGTATCCTTCAGAAGTCAGGCAATGCTTTGTTTGAGGATAAAAAATAGCCCACCTAATCAGAGCTATTCATCTTGGATACATCAATTTAACTGTTACTGCGGGAAAAATTACATAGGGTGTACGATTAGACAGGTGCGTCTCAGGATACGGCAGCATTTGTCCACCTGGTTTGGAAAAGGTGACGTGAAAACCTTGATAGATTCCGTCCAAGCTAACGTAGTAAGCACAGGACATCATACAGATACTAATAAAGCCTTTAATTCCACCTATCATATGCCAAAAACAATACCACTTGTAGCTGGCTAACTCCAGCACAACCCAGGTGAGGCTGTCGCATAATGTTGATCAAGCTTGAACTTTGCATTCAGAAAGAACATATACGCCATCATTCCTCTCTTGACTTTTAAAAGCCTTAAAAGCACTCACCCTCCTTATTTACTGTCTTTTCTTTTTTTGTCATATTCTTCATCTGTGAATGTGTCATCCTAATATTAGCAAGTTCAAAAAGAAAAACAGTTTCCATTGTAGTCCCTAACTTCCTTTCTATCTTGAAAAAATGCATTCGCCTCAAACTTGGCTGATTTCATGCTGTAAAATTTTATCTTCTTACTATCAAACCTGATGAGAATTTATTGATAGAATATCATTCGTTCAGATTGTTTTTAATTAGTGGTAAGAGAATCTGTAAATGTTTAAAGTGCTACAATTCTACTGTTAACCATCAGCGCTGCTTTTTCGTTGCCTTTAGCCTTCGATTATCAATATTGTCAGAAGACGTTGGGTAAACTCCTTACCAATCTATATCTTAGCTTATTTTGTAGCTTTTTTTGCTCAAAGCCCGTAAGAATGCCTAGAAATAAATCTAATAATTCAGTAGGGAACTATCGGGATCTACTTTGAAGCTCATAACTTTCATGGCTTTTTTAACAGCAAACTAGAGATGACAACAGTCTTCCTCAGAATGAGTAAAGCCATTCTGCTCTAATAACTACCTAGTGTATGTTACTCTTTGAAATCAACTTTACTGTTCCCATCATCCAGGTACACTTGAAATCAATTTTTAATGCCATCTAAGTATGTGGAAATCTTATTTGTCTAGTTCTGTATAAACACTATTCATAACCTGATCAGCAAACCAGTTTTTAATGATCGTTATCGGATTACTTACATTTAACACGTAAATCTATCAATAACCATCAACGGTTGCGGCAGAAGAATTTCGCAGGCAGCATCATACTACTTTGCAAAAATGAGTAACAGGAAAACAACTGTAAATTTATCATGATTATGGAGAAGTGAGAAGAATAAACTAAGTTTTTATTTCAAGATGGCTTCTGAGAATCCCAGGTATCCGATGAAAGTACTCAAAACTCCTATGTTTCAATACATACAAAGAATGTCCATCCACCTACTGATGACAAAGTAGATTTGGAAATCTTGTCTCCTTTGTTTTGGAAATTTGGCAAGATTGTAGGCATCAACATTACTACCTGATCTGATATTAAGGTTGCTAAAAAGGCAGGATAATATGAATTGTGGTCAGTGGTTTTAATATAAGAGTGAAACCAGTCAGAATGGTGAATTGCTGTAGTTATTTCTTACCATTGCTTGAAAGTGTTACAAATCGATTTCCAAGCTCATTTTTACTTTATACCACGTTAGGGAAATCTTTCACATAGCAGCATCAAGGTTTCATTATGAAACTTTGAAGCTTCATTTCATATGATGTTAGTAATTACAAACTTAACTGAAAACTTCTCAGCACTATGGATAGTAAATTTATTATTTCTTTCAGCTGGTAGGTTGAAAATGAGCAAAATCGAGATAGGTCTAGTGAGGTAAACAGACTTTGTAATAACAGAACGGACAGTGAATGTGATTGCAACAGAATACGAAAGCTTACTGTGGAATTCATATCACGAATGAACAATAAGCTGAATATGTATTGGTAGAACTCACCTGTTATCCTCCTCTTACACCTCAGCCTTCTACTTAGTTCTCTCTGTCAATATATTCATCGCATGTTATGCATTTATATATCCTTCAAGAGATTGACGAGAAGGTTTTATGACATTGATTCTGTTGAAGTTCCACTTCATCTCGACAAAGAAGGCCACAATAGATGATTATATGCTGGAAACAAATCTACTGTTGTTTGCACAAACTGAGTAGTGTGTGTCATCACACTGTAAAATATAACAAGTGGTAAATATTCGCAGCTGAGGATTTGAATGTCTACACCGATCTGTTGATCATCGATCATTGTTTGCAGATATTTCAGCGCCATCCAAGATATCATCACCAATGAGATGATCATTTACATCCAGCGATTTGACCAGTTTCTCACATGATTAGTCAACGTGTAATCGTAAGAAAGCGATCTCTTCCAAAAAAGCGAAAACATTCAGTCATCTTATGAAAGTAAAACCTCATGACAAATTTATGTTTGTCTTCCTGTTACTCATTTTTGCAAGGTAGTATGATGCTGCCAGCGAAATTCTCTCCCCACAGTCG